ACTCACTCTATCGGTCTCACTCGCTCGCTCTCTCCTCTACCTCCGCCACACACTCGCAGACTCACCTCAGCAAAGCCATCGTGAAGCCCATGGTGGATGAGCGGCGACGAGAGGAGGCCGGCGTTAAAATCCCATCCGGTAGCGACGGCTCTCTTGCTGTATCCACATCCGAGCACTGGCGGCGCGACCAACACTGCGCCACAACACTTGCACAGCTTGCGTAGATTGCACTGCTATGCACTGCTTTGCACTCGTTGCACTTATTGCACTGCTTGCACTGCTTGCAACAACTCCACTATCACTAACACCAAGGCCCCGCTGGCAACACTATCAGCAGGAGCGACAAGAACGGCGCATCCAGGGTCGGCGTCGTCCTGGACCCAGAGGAGAGTGAGGGGGATGAAGGGAGGGGGTCAGCAGCAGCAGCAGGACGCCGTCGACATGGCCGCCACCAGGCAGCCGCTGTACAACCCTCCTGGGCACAGCTCGCACGCACGCGCTTTCAGGGGCAACTTCAGGGCAAACTTCCACGAGCGGCAGCAACCTCAGCCCCGCGTGCCCGCGAGTCAGCACGCGCACGCGCTTTCAGCGGCAACTTCAGGACAAACTTCCACAAGCGGCAGCAATACCGCAGTGATCCGTGCCCGCGTCGTCAACGGGGGAGCAGAGAGAGTCAACCGGACAGAGTCAGCACGCGCACGCGCACGTCCCGAGTGCAGCAGGTCCACGCACGCCCGGGCACGGCCAGGTCACGCACGGTACTGGGCCTGCCCCGGCGCGCTCTCGCCGCGCCCCGCCACGGCCAGAGCCAGGCCTCCTCGCGGGCGGCGGCGGCAGCAGGCGGCAGGGGAGGCCAGCGAGCCAGGCGGCCGGCCGACCACGTTTCGGTTTTAGATTAGGGCTAAATTGAGCAGCCAGCTAGGCTGGTGGGGGCTGGCGGGGGCAGCGTGGCCGGCGAGAGTGCGCCCTCGGTGGACCCGCACCGCCGCACCGCCACCGCGTCACCACCGGCGTGGTCCTCGACGTCGTCGTCGCCCTCCGCTGCCGCCGCCGCCACCACCACCACCACCACCCCCTCCGCCACCACCACCTTCTAGCAGCGCTGCCAACGCGCCCGCTCAAACCTAACTGTGTGCGCCTAGCGCGGCGAGGAGCTCAGGGTGGCCACCGTGGCGAACAGCACAGCAGAAGAAGGGGGTGGAGGGGTGGCGACCCTGGCGACCTGAGTGGGGAGGGTGGAAAGGGTGAGCACACAACCGGGAGAGAGGGTACTTCTCGGCCATATCTTATACGAGGACGGCCGCCGAAGTGATGCTTTCCCCGCACAGCATAGGTATGCATGCCCAACATGGAGCCACCGAAGTGCGCTGCTGCCGTACACTTTAAGAGCCTCGTCCTCTGAGGGATCCAGGCGCGGATTAAGGTCCGGCTAGCAGGGGGGAGGTGGGGGCATGCAATGCCAGTTGCCTACATTCAGGGATTTTGTGGCGCAAATTGCCTACCTTGCAGGCGGCTCTCTAGAGACCACAGGGGGGGGGGGAGAATCGCCCCCCTTAATCCGCACCTGAAGGAATCATCCAAAAAGTGCGACAATTATTCGCCGTTACGACACTTCAGCCAATGTATCTAACCTCTCATAGCGCCTGGTAGGTAGGCAATATCTCGCCTGGCGTGCACGCGTGTAGTGCGGGGTTGCCTACCCGGAGTCTCGCAGGCGCTAGGGGATGGAAACGAACTACGCAGAGTCCCGGACGAGGCGCGATACCCAAGTCGGGGGAGGTTTATTTGAAGAAAGTATCCATCTCTGGTAAAAACTAAGAACAGATTCAGAAAGCTGAAAAAAATTGCCGTGTAATATAGCCTTTTATCTGGCCCGATAGTAACGTCTATCGCCATCTAATCGATAAACAAGTGGCGGCGTAAAACCCTGTTTTTCTTGTTCAATTTTTTACGCGCGCTCGTACGCGTATTCTCGAGTGTATCTGCCTTACCACACAAACGCTTTAAACACGGCATATTTCTTCAGCTTTCCAAATCTTTTCTTCGCCGCTTTACCGCGGAAATGCATACTATTTTCAAATTAGCTTTCCCCATTAGCGTTGAACTCCCTGCAGGTGCCAAGCTCCTGTCATTTACCGAATGAATATGAGAAAAGAGAACGTACTTTCTCGACAATCCTAAAGTGAAATGCGCTCGCACCTCACCAGCGCGTTTGGCCGTTCGTGGCGGAAACGCCGCGAGCCAGGCGCTAGTAGTATGGTATTCCGCGGGAAGTAGGCCCTACCTGAAGAAGAGACAGCACCACAGCCACCAAATCAGTTAGCTGTCTGCTACATGCTCATTGGCTGACATCGTTGACCACCAGGCGTCCACACTGTAAAAAAAAAAGAAAGTTAAATTAACAGTAGAGTAGTTGTTAAGTTTTTCACTGACTCGTGATGTTGTACACCAACATTATTTCCCAGTAACAAAATTAAAAGTTAGCCAGGAACAATAAATTTCTTAATTGTTTTGCATTGAAAACAAGCACGGTTGTTTTTTAATGTAAATGGGGACGTCTTGGTTTTTCCAAAAGTGCTTGAAAACCAAGACGTACTTTTACTGCGTTCTTCTTTGTGGTGTGCCTCCTCCAGCGAAACACCCTATTGAACGGCGATCACCGACCGGAACAACACTCCGAGTGGTCGGCGCTAAGAGTGGCCCGTGAGGGTCAGCAGGTGATGACGGACGGGGGTGGACGCCGGCCGCGGGCGCCCCAACCGCATAGAACGATGGGGTCGGACGCCACGACCGGGGGGAGGGGGTGGGTGGGCAGAATAAACTAGGTGGGCTGCAGAGTGGTCACGGCGAGTGCAGTGTGTACCGAGCGGCGTAGAGTAGGGTAGGCACAACAGCTCTGGCTTTGCCGCTCAACAGCCCCCCACCCCCTCCAACCCCCTCTGTGCTCCCCTTACACGACACTATCTCCGCTGAGGGAGGGGGAGGACTGTGCTTTCTCCTCCACTATACACTGCTAAAAAGAACCCGTTACTCACTCCCCCCGCGCTCCCTGCAAGCCAAATTAGCTCTAATGAATATTTACACTTTTCACTATTTTCTCGTTCTCACATCCTCATCTGTTTTCCCTTGGTTATCCTGAGCTGAGCGTATCACGCGCCCTTTCCTTTCCCTTTTACACGGACGCGCGCTCTTCCCTCTCGCTCTCCCTCTGCTTATACATACACCCATCTCCGTCACTCGCCCCTTCTCTCTTGCTCTTAATTTAAACGAATGCGACTGTTAATACTCGTGTTGCCGTTTAGCCCGCGGGGAGAGTTGGGGGAGAGGTGGAGAGGGGTTGAGCGGGAGGGGGAGGGCAGCGATCCCGGCGGGCTCACGACCAGCCAGGGCTCTAGCCAGGGTTCTAGCTAGGGCTCTAGCCAGGGCCGCCCCGCCGACCCCGGCCCCGCCGACCCCGGCCCCGCCGGCCCGCGGGACCCTTGGCCCATTCCGGAGGACACGCAAAGGCTGTACATGGTGATGTAAGTAACACGGAACGGAGAGCACCGTAATGATGTGCTGCTGCATTTCCAAAACAATCCACACATTACAGGAGAACAACGCGAGTTATTTGAATTTATATCAATCCCACAGCGCAAGACACACACATCAGAAAAGTTGAAGAAGTTGGTCCAAGTAAATACTTCACGAAGGGCGGGGGGCGGAGGAGAGGAATACTCTGACACGAATACTCGCAATCAACAATCCCCCTAAAATATGTCGCAATCATCATAAAGAGTGCAATGTTCCCCAAAAGAGGGCCGTGCGTGCGTGCGACACTTGATGGCGGGAGAGGGGGAGGGAAGGGGCGAGCCATGGCTTTTCGTAGCAGCTGCGTCGTGCTGCTCTTGTCGCACCCACCTCGGCGTTGGGCATGGGAGAGGCATAGTAGCAGTCATCATTCGCAAAGCAAAGAGCAGCTGCGCCTCGTCCCAGACATGGAGTGCGTCGCAGAGGTCGCATTGTGAGGCACGTACCGGCGACGACTCGCGGCAGTGCCTGGTCATGGTGGGATCAAAACCACACCGGCCGTGCGATTCCGGAGCCTATACCTCCCGTATAGCTCCGCCCTTGTTGCACTCATAGAGCAGGTATAGGAGATCGCCGCTTGAACGATCTCCTGAATCGCACGGCAGTATCTTCCAGGCCTGGCCATCCGTCACGATCGATCTTTTCAACAGTTTTTATTGTTACAATAGTAATAATAAAATTCTGCCAACCATATCAATTGCTAGTAGGCAAACCGTATATTTTTACACACCTACGACCTTGTGACTATCGGTTCCGAAGTAGAATTAGAGGTATGAATTCGCGGTTGCGGACGGGCGCTGAACGGAAGTAAAGTACCCAGCTAGAAATGCATCGTCGAAATTTGGTCGATTTCATCGATCGACCCGAAATCGACGTCGATTCGATGGGATTTTGTCACCTAAAGCGACGAATTGTCGACTTCGACGTCGTTTCGACGTCGTTGCGAGTTTACATTTCATTAGGTAGAGAGTGCTGTGCTTCAGACCTCAGATACCCAAGGCACCTAAACCTAACCTGCAAATGCGCTAGTGTCCCGCGTTCAAACACAACTTTTGAAGAATATTGACCATGATATTCCAACACCTGCTTATTGTTTACGTAATCTTCAGTCACTGCGAATGTTTAAAAAATTTATCTTAGATGCTGTCTCTGAGTCGATTGCTTATGTCTGATAAATCTTCAAAAACGGTATCACGAAAGAGCCGGCCCGTCGCGCCGGTCGTTCAAGCCTATTTACGCGATTCATTCTTTTCGGGTATGAACGCGTACACCGGTCAAACCACTTACCTCGGTAAGTTTTTACTTTTTTTTTTTTTCCTCCCGTGTACTGCCGACGCCAGGCTGGCGTGTAAGTTTTTACTTGTTTCACAGACAAACAGTTATAGGCAGACCAGCCTAAGATCGCGATTTTCCTCACCCCCTCTCGCCCGCAAAATCCTATACCGCCTGTGCTAACCCAGTCGCGACCTTAGGCTGGTCTCAGTATAATTCCTGTCTCTTTATTCAGGGGTGCCTCAACATCCGAATCCGAAACAGCTGACTGGGCAGCGGGGGCAGCGGGCGGGTGACTAACAACACGAACGCGAACACGATTAGCACAGCCTTATTCGCAGTCAGATCTGCGAACTGAACAGACAACTACTCTTACTCTCCTCCCCCGGGCACCATAGGCGGCAGCCTGAAAGCCATTACTCGACCACTACTAGTACTACTACTCTTACTCTTCATTTCGGAGCTTCGTCGATGTCGAAGGGGTGCTGCCAAGTTTCAGGAGCCTATCTGGAGTGGAGTTCAGATTATTTAGACCTACTGAGAACATGATAGAGGGTGGTTCTTTTCCGAGTTAAATTACTATATCAGCGTGAAGGTAGGGGTGGGGGGGGCGGCACCATGTCCAATGATGAGTACATACCGTAGGAAGGTAGTCACCACGCACGGGGTCGCCGTCGCAGGGGCGGATCAAGGTCCGGCTGACAGGGGGGGATGCTCTGTCGGTTGCCCACATACAGGGGTTTTGTGGCGTAAATTGCCTACCTTTCAGGCGGCTCTCTTGAGACGACAGAGAGGGGGCGATGTGCGCCTGCGCCGTCACCGAGTTTTGACCGCAATGACTTGTTGTGTTATCTGGAGAGGGCCGTGAAAAGTCGTTTTTTTCTCTTTTTTTTTTAACGGCCGTGGACCGGTCCACCCTGTATGCTCTACCCTTGCAGACCCACTACGCTAGTAATATCCTGGGGGGGGGGGGGTTACTGGTGGCCGGTGTACCGTCTATGTAGCCCCAAGAAGACGGGTGCAAGGGAAACTTTTTCTCATACGAAAACGATACACGCACCAAGCAATACAGTTTCCTCCAGAGTGGACGTGGGCGATCACAACAAAAGAATGGACCGCCCAGCAGCACCGGGTCCCTCTCTCAGTCTCTGTCATGGGGATGACGTGAGGGGGGGGGGGGGGGGCTGATCAACTTGAAGCACAAGTTGAGCCGACAGTGGGCCCAGCGCTGGCGCTGCTCGGCCGGCGGGGGGCGGCCGGGGGCGGCCCTCCCGCCTGGACGTCACGGAGGGCGGCAGGGCCCAGCCCATCAGATGATGAAGCATCGCCACCATCGCCACTCCGAGAGCGCTGCTCCGCGGAGTGGCGTGGCACGCCCGCCCCCCGTCCACTGTTATTGCAAGGTTCGTCTCCGCAGCCATAAATTTTCACACCCAGGCCGTCGTGCTGACAGCTGGTTGGAAAAGGGAGGAGGGGGGGGGGCAGTGATTCCGACAAACGCCCGCGCGTAACCATTACACTTGAAGGCAGTTTTGTTTTCTGTGATTTTCTTTTATCTATCAGCATCCCGAAACCAGACAATACTGAATCCTTCAACACCCCACCGGGTCCACAGGCCCCTTCCTTTATTTTTTGCTCGGTGTACAGCATGCGGGCGAGCGGGCGGGTTGCACACTCGCACGGGGCCATAAGGCGGTAGGCAAGCCCGCCAGCACCCCTGCGTGCGGTACAGTATAAGCAAAATAGAGGGAGAGGTCGGTGGGCTATACATGCAGATAGCTCTTCAACGTCAATGCACGAGGAGTCGTCGGCTTCCAGTCGACACCTTTACAGTTTTTCGGGCGATTGATGGGGACACTTTATGCAGCGAAACTTACCCTCGTGGTCAACCCAAGGGCAAAGGAAGCACGCGCCACGGTGTTGCGGGATTGCATACCCTCCCTAGGGGCTATGGCGCCTTACGGGCGGACAGAGTAGGCAAACCCACCGACAGCGGCGGGTGCTCTGAATCACCCGGTACCTGCGCTGGCCCGAAGTCTTTTTCACCTGCACTCGCTCCGAGCAGGAGCCAAAGTGTAAAATTGCAGCACAACACCGGGTAAGATCACGATGGGTGGGTGATGAACATCCGAGACCCCAACGCCGGTGGTAGTGCCTGGGCCGGCAGCGCCCGTCATGCACTTCCCTCTGTCGGCCGGCCCCAGAGCTGGGCCGGGCCCATGGGCCGGGGCCGGGGCCCGCGAGCCGCTGGCTGGGAGCCAGGCCGGGCTGGGACCAGCCTAGCACTCTGAAAAACATCCTCGTTACTATACGAAATTGTTTAGTAACCTAGGATCTTTTAATCGACTTTAACGTTCCGAACTTGACTTTATTCAACTTCAACGACGGCATCCTACAATTAACGACACGCCGTTATTGGCTCGTCGACGACTAACAAGTCGGTGTATGAAGTGTCAAAATAATTTTTTAAATTTACAATTTTAAATTGTAAATTTACTTCATGTAGCAAGGAGAATTTGCAGGTAAGAATATGTTACAGTGAGGGGCAGGACGCCTGCTCCGAGCACCGCGCGCCCTGACGCCACGCGCCGCCACGCGATCAAATTATGTCAGAGTCAAGATTTGATGTCACTCTGACATCAAATGACATCAAAGCTGGCTACCAAATGACCAAATCCACCAAATCCTGACACTGACATCTGGATGTCGTTTTAACAAAACCGTGTTCTCTGGGAGTGCGCGGGCGCGCCCACTCTTCGCTCTATCCGGTCTATCAGCTGGTTCTGGTTGGCACAAACTCGTCAGGCCAACAGAACGCACTAAAAACGAGTCGAGAGATAGACCAGACTAATTGTAAAGTAACGCCTCAATTTCAATTTAAGAGTCAATTCAATCAAAAATATTTAATTTTTGGAATCCTTTGTAGCCTTTTCTCATGCTTCTATCGTGGCGAAACGACGTTCGTTTTCGGCAACACTTTGGCTAGCCTTGTTTATTTGTTATTATCATGGCGTCGTCCTACGGCTCTACTGCTGCTGTGAGTAATATTTTAATTTCTGTCGTTTTGGCGTTGCTTTTTTATGTCAGTTTTTATCTAATGTACGTTTGTATCAAAATCTGAAAATTACATTCCGAAGTGAACCTGTTATTAGTGTTTTACCGTATTTTAGACCACCCTAACCTAACCTGGGTCACCATTTGAGGTCTGGCTCAAATGCATTGCCCTTCTTGTTTTTCATTGCAATCTTCATTTGCACGATGTGTACTATTCTTTCCATATCCTTCCTTTTCCCGCACTCCCTCGCAGTGGTTCAGGTCCCTGCTGTACCGCTGGTTGTCTAGCCGGCGGTTCCTTCCCCTCCCGGTAATAAACTTGTCTACTTGTCAATTATCTGTCAACTCCCTCACCTTAACAATATCTAGTTCTCTTTCGCAGTACAAGTGTTTGTCTGATCCTATGACTTCTTTTCGGTCTGTGTGTTATTATTCCTCATGATTTTGTTGCAGTCCCGCCTACAATTGGCTTTACAAAATCCGCTCCAGTATAGATGTGAGGAGATCACAAGGATAATAGATGAACTGGGCACAAAAGAGCTCCAAAATGCACTCCCTCTTTTGTTGGCTGACCTTTTTGGAGTGTCCAGTCAAAGTCTCTCAAATGCAAACACCACTTCTTCCGGAGGTTGGGGGCTGAGGATACGGACTGTTATGCAGTCCAATGAGTTCACTGATTACAATGTACTCTACCAGTTCTTGCACCCTCAAGGGCCACTTTTTAGACTTCTTTACAAACTTCTTCAAGACTGCCATTTGAAATATGAGTTTCCTCTCCAATGGTTACCGGTATATATATTTTTTCTATCACTAATTTTCGATTTGTTGAATATCAGTTTGCATTGTACTTTAAATTACTTGCTGTATTTGTATTTTAATGTTGCAGGCTCGGATCAAGCATTTAATCTTAAGAGGAATGGTTCCTCCATTTTATTTGGATAAATTGCAGCTTGACCCTCAAACAAAAACACCCACAAGTCTAGCTCTAAGTATCCTTTTGTTGACATTGGTACATTTACTTTCATTATCTTTTATCAATTTTTCTTTTTATCATCCTTAATTTGGTATCAGATTCTTTTGAACTCTACATTTTTCACTTTGCCTATCATCTTGTCAACCCAGAGCTACAGAGAGTTCACATGAATGCTTGGCTCTATTCTGATTCATTGTATTTAAATTTGACTGAGGCATATTTGAGTGAACTGCTGCCTTGTGATCGTTCCACTGTTCTACCTGCTGTACCATTCAATTTTGGAGTCATGCAAAGCTATAGTGCATCTTTTGGTCCTTATGGAACTCTGCAGCGTATCCCAAATTTACATTCAACATCAAGGTAGGGATTCTGTTTTGTCATTCCATTTATAAAATTGATTTTTGTTCATGTGATTCTCATGGCTATGTACTGTATGTTTCAGATCTGCCCACACTCCTCATTTACTTAGACAGTCTGTGATTCAACAAGGCAGCAGCTCAGGGTCACTCCATTCTTCACCTGCCACTGCAGTTACAAGCACAAGAACAGAAATTTGGCGCAGTGAAACTGTAGCCCAAGTATTTGTTGATTTTTGGTTAAGCCATGGAGAGGGCGAAATTGGCCCTGTCTTTGGTGCAAGTGGTTCTCCTCAAAGGGTGAGTGATCCAAAAAAATAACTTAATCTTTTCACTATTGTATTACATTTTTGAGTAGAATAGAACTCCTGTACTAGTTTTGGTGTTTAGGAAAAGATGTTGGGTTTTTAAAGGCACTGGTTTTTGTTTTACAATTTTACTAAAACCAGGAACTGGTGGATAAATATTTCCTTTTGTCTTACAAAAAGTTGTATTGTTTGAGAAATGCAGTATTAGAGGTTTTGTCAAAGTTGCATGGACACAGTTTTATGATTTATACTCTTCCTAAGCTTCTGCCCTCATGGACTTTTTGCAAAGAGATGATAATGACCATCCCTGCATCTCATCCAATGTCTAGTTTTATGATGTGTGCAGTGTTCATGGCATGTGTTATCTTCCAGCAATATCCTGTAGATCACAACATATCTCATCATTATTTTCAAATGGAGCAACTTCGAATTTTTAAGTTGCCTCTGAAGTATCCTGTAAGTTGTAGATTTGCACCTTCGTTATATCTTGGCTTGGTGTGGCTAAAAACATGCTCTCTTTGTTTTACAAATATAGTTATAATGTTTGTGTAAATAGCTTGCAGCAGTTTTTGTAATCTAAGAAAGAAAATGAAGTTACCTTTTGCAATTTCATGTAATATTTAGTTACAGTTATGTTAATTAACTGTGTCCCTCCTTTTAGTAGCATGTGCCTGCAGATCCACTCTTGAAGCTTTAGCTTTGCCACCTTGTGCTTGCTTCAGTACATTTTATATTTGACGTGTGTTTTAAGTTGTCTGTCTTTGAAGGAACCATTTATTTCATTCAATTAATTCTGACAAATGTGCAACTTTTACAGGTGCAATTACTTTTTTTTACATTCTGATTTTCATCTATCCCCTTATCAGTATTTCATACCATAATCCCTTATGAGAATGTCTCTTCATCTGTTGCTTTTAATAAACTGTGGAAAAAATGTGCTATGTATTAACATTTGGTTGTGTAACCTAATATCTAGTGTGCCTCAAGGCACTAAGAGCTCTTGGTAGATCCTCAACCACTCTTTGTACCTGTGATAATTTAATGTCCTTTTTAACTTAAATGTTGGATATTAAACTTTCTGTAACAAAACCCTGAACCTGGAAGCTAATCCTACTATGTTAGAGGTCTACTCCTTAATTGACTCAAATTATCAACTTTGTGATTTATTCACATTAACATCATGCAAATGTTCTCCTTCCTTTAACTGTTTGGTCTTTCTAGGAGCTGCTGCCAACAGGTGAACATATTCGAGTCGTCCGGAATCTTATAAAACATCTGCACTACTTTTCAAATAGTGTAACTGGTGACCAAAGTGCTATGGATGAGTTAAGAAGGTAAATTTTAATCTTCTTTCTTTATTTAAAATTAATTGATTTAAGATTGGCGTTTTCAATAATAAGAATTGTTTTCTTACATCAGGATTATTGGACCATCTAGTCAGGCAAAAATATATGGTTTTCTTCGTCGAACCATTCACCATTGGCCTTTGGATAGTTCATTTCGTTTCATCTTGGAAACTTGGTTAAGCTATATACAACCATGGAGATACACAGATCACCGCTATCAGAGCAAGTCAGTCAAAATTTCAAATATTTTGTCGCTCTCATAAAGTCTTGTCCTTCGGAAGTCTTAACTATCTTTTTAATGTGTTCAGTTTACCTGCTGGTAGGAGCTCAGGGATGGACCTAGGTGACCCTGACTTAAGGAATGGTAGAAATGCAGGACAAGAGAGGAAAGAAGTTGACCGCCGTTGGATATCCTTCATAGCAGAAAACCTTCTTAGTTATACAGTGATATTTCAAGAGATGATTCCCCGCTTTGCAAGGCTTGATCTATCTACTCCAAAAAATGCAAACATGCTATTTAGGGTCTCAAAGGCAAGCAAGTCTAAACAGATTATTCTAAAGTTCCCCATTATGTGGTTCCCCATTGCTGCCATAGAATTTTTTAAATGTTGTTAACATTATTAACAGGTTTTTTCACAACCCAATTTGGCTGAGCTCATTCAAGAAGTGGAAAGCTGTTTGGATGATTTATTGGGCTCCGTCAGCCCCCAGAAGCGTTCAGCCATGTCCTCAGACCATCCTCTCGGAGGACTTGCGGCACATCAAGCCACAAAATGGAGTGCCATTGTAAGACAGCAAATTCAAGATTTAGAATCACCAGGTTTCCAATACAAACCCATGTTTGGATCTGCAGTTAGGTCACAGGTAACAGACCAATATGTTACTTATTAGTAACATAATCAGGTTAACCTGGAACTTTTTCTAATAGTTATCATTTGCAGGTTGTTGGTCTGATGATAATTGTTCAGCAAGCTCATGCTGCAGCAATAAGCACACAGAGAGCACTGGAAGAAGAAGCTACCTTGCGTTCACATTCTCGATCTTTTCTCTCAGTCATCAAAGACATGTTACTTCTCTCAGACCATTCCTCCAATGATGAGTACTCTCCTGAAGAGCGACTGAAAGTATTAACTTTCCTCAATACAGCCATATCTCAGTTCTCGGATATTTTTAAGGTATGTATGTCGACATTTTTTGCAATATGCAATATTGTATTTGGTGTTCTGATGGGTTAATAGAATACCTTACCTGTTTCAACACATTTAGATCAACAATACCGAAATCATGAATTCCAACAATATGTCAATTAGTAATCCAGATATTCAATCAAATGGTGATGTAACTGACTATGGAACTCCTACAACAAGTCGCACAATTACTTATCGAGGTCAACAATCTCAAGTAAGGGTTGTTTTTTTTTTTAATCTTTTCTCACTTTAATTGGTTGTGGAAAGAAACATATTACTATTACTAATTTTGTACAGATGAACATGACACCCTTGGCTGGTGAAGCTCTCACGTCAACTCCACAACAGTGGCGGCAACGCAGTATGAATTTACAATATGAAGGGGACCCAGATCTCATCCCAATTCGTAGTGATGAAAGTGAATTCTTGGTTAGACTACTCTATCAGGTGGCATCCAAACTAAATGAAATGGTAAAAATTTGTGAATTTTGATAATTTTATTTTGTTGAATTCCTCTGTACCGTCTGCCTCCCTGGTATAATTAAAGTTTTTTCTTGCGTTACAGTACTGCAGTGAAATGGCACGCCTTTACCATAGAGAGGATGTATGGGGTCGGGTAGCTCGCCAAATTTTATCTGCTCCTATGACTGTGTATCGGTATGACAAGAGATCACCAGGAAGCTTCTCTCCAAGAGTGGGATCAGCATTGCCTCCTCGTCTCAGCCTACGGCCACTTGCACGATACAGAAATCTAGCAATGATTGCTATGCTCTATATTGTTGCCTTAGTTTGTAATGCCCCACCTTATGCTGTTTTGTGCTCAGCAATTCTATTCTGGGGTGTTTTGGTCACAGTTAAAGCAGTTATTGAACCATGGGGATCAACAAGGCCTTCTCAACCCAGATTTAGTGATAGATTAAATGATAGTCTTGCAGATCAGTCCTTCTGAGAAATTTATCATGTAAACATTTCCACATTTTATACAGAATTTTATTTAACAATTAT